ACAAAGGATCAGGAAATTTGCTGCCACTGATTTTCTGGGGGAAATAAGTGAATTCCAGTAAGGCAGAGGGAGTTTAGACATCGTATTTTTTAGATGAGCTTAATTTCTTAAGAATACATTGGAAACTCCTAGAAATACTGCAGTTTGAAGCGGACACGACACTACATTGTGGAGAACTTTAGATTTTTTTCTTAATGAGTTAAACTTTTTTTTAAGCGAAAAATTCCAAATAAAGGGCAATGTTCAAGATATATTTCTCTAAGCAATATGCTTCTCTACACATTAATTCTTCAGTGAAACAGTTTACTCCTTCCCCCTGCAAGAGAATTTGTGTGTCTTCTTGAAGTGAGCTTTGATTAGCAGAATCACGTCCGCTGACTCTACCAGTGGCCACTCTGCTTGGACGTGATGTTTCCGCCGGAGTGGAGGTCCAGGCTGGAAACAACTGTTCCTGAAGGCTGCCTTGCCTTTTTAGGTTATGAGGGTCTCTCTGTGTTTAGGGTAACGTGATTGACAGCTCCAGTCCAGTTCCAATTAGCACCCTATAAGTTATTAGCTTCTGCTTTCAGATTGTGCGTTAACTTCACAAATATTTCAACCACGGAAACAGCAGCTATCAAGTGTCTCTTTCCCGATCCAGCCTCTGGGGCTGGAGTGAAATACAAGGAAAGAGCGGTACAGTTGGTCTGTCAAGTGAGAATAATCATTTGTGTCTGTGCCTGTCTGAGGGCACGGTTCTCTGATTTCTCTTTAGGCGTGTGTGTGTGTGTGTGTGTGTGTGTGTGTGTGTGTGTGTGTGATATTTTAGGTAAATAGATTTCATTGTGCAGATACTGTGCTTATATTATTAGAGTTCCATCTCATTTATTCATGGGAGATGAGAGAGAGCTGGTGTTAAGCAAATGTGAAATTTACATTTGCTTAGCCCTGTTGCTTGTGTAGATATCAAAACTTCCGTTAAGTACAAACAGCAACTGTAATAACCACACCGCCTTTACAACATTATTACTTTTTTCTTAGGAATATGTAATAGATAGTGAATAATAATAATCCTAAAAATCTTGCAAGGAAGAATGGAATATATAGAGCGAAGACTTTGACAAGTACAATCAAAATATGAATTATTTCCATGCAAATTCTCAACAGACTTAAAGCAGGTTTATAAAGGAATCGTGGTTTCCAGTTTCTTTTATTTTAAAAGTCTTCTCAAACATTTTTCCATTTTTCTTCCATGCTTTGATAGCTGATACATTACATTTAAAAATGCATTTTATGGAAATGGCATTTGTAAGGAAAGCAGTTTGTCTAAGTTTTCTTTCTTATGTCCTCAATCTCCGAAGTAACCAATCACTAAGTGTTTTATGAAAAAGAGTTCCCAGTTTATTTTGCTAGAACATGTGTAGATGCCTACACACAGAGGCAGGGTTTGTGACTCTCAGTGAACTGGAGGTTAAGGTTACCTTAACAGTTGTTTCCCTCTGATGCAAAAGGGCAGAGAAAACGCAGTACTTACCCAGAAAGAGTGGCCAGAGATGCTCCCAGTCAGGGAGACCGGACCCCAACACTCATCACCCCGGCCTTCCCTCCCATCCAGGCCCAAATGATTCTTCAGTCATTGCTAGAATTTGCCATCCATTGGAATAGAACTTCAAAGGGGAAATGAGACAGGATGGCAACTCCTTTTAAACTAAAGGCGCAGAACAGATAGAATTCCCTGTAGTTGGGTGACTGAGTTCTCAGCCAGAGGGCAGTCGGCAAAAGGATTACTTGGTGGTGGCGAGTTGTCTCTCCCCTTTTCATCACCTCTCCCTCACAGTGAGGCCACGCACAGAGGCAAAACTGGAGGAGGAGGACCCAGAAAATCCCAGTGGGGGTGATCAGAGGAGAATCTAATCTTTCTTTCAGGCCCCAAACAGGTGTAATATAGGAGAAAACATCAAATTTTCTCATGTTATCCTTTCCTCAAGTCTCACTTTCTTGAATATCCTTCTTTTCAACTACTAGGACCTTCTCTAATTTGCATGGTTTCATGAATATTAGCAAGATGGGCATGGGAATTCATATTTGGCATGACTTGGTGGGCCTAAGAATGTCAGTGAGGGCTATTAATTCCCCAAAGTTCTCTCTGATGTTTTTATTACACTGGATCATTGTAGTTTAAGGTCATCTTGTATTTCTGCTTTAGGAAGGTACAGCATGGAGGAAAATGCTCTGCTCCGTGTGTCCCATGTGCCTGGTCACCGGAGCCCACCCAGCAGTCTGGAGGTCTGCTCAGGACTGCCCCAAAGGCCAGTCCAGTGAATGAGTCTCCCCACCAGCACCCTGATATTCAGGTCAGATGCAGTTCAGGAGAGAGGCTTCCGTCATCAGAATCCTGTGGCTGGGAAAGTGCTCCCAGTGGGATCTGATCAGAGATCTCGTGAGTGCTCCTGCAGGTGCAGCACAGGTAGAGAGCCCCTTTCAGCGAGGACTACTTGGAGAAGGTGTGTAGCAGAGAATGCACTGCTGTGCTTTCTGCTTCCACTGCGTACTCAGTGACAACTTCTAAAAAGCAAGCTGGAACTTAATGCATTTTATTCATGCTTGTATATTGCAGTGATCCATGCCAATGGAACATGGATTAAAAAATCCACAGAGAAGTCCAAAGTTAATTTTAGCGATTACTTCAATGTCCAAACTTCAGGCTAACTCTTACACGACTTGGCTAGGTTGGGTGTGAAAAGCTTCAGAGCAGTGAAGGCTAATTAAATACTGAAGTGAATGAAGAGCAGCAGTTACTAGTAAAAGTTCTTCTTGGAGAAGAATGGAATTCTGTGTCTGACTGACTGGTTAAGGTAGTGGCATCTGAGGAAGGGTCTGGGCAATGTCCTATGACAGTTCCTTTGAGACCTGGGATTCTGTAGGTTCTACTATTTGCTGCCCTGCCTCTTCCCTTCCTTAGTCATCTATTGGGGAGGAGAAATGAAGCCCACAATTGAGAAGCCAAAGACAAATCAGAAGTGGACAAGCAGTCACTGCAGTGAGTAATGGTGCAATCTCTGTACCCGGGCTGCCTGGGTTGGCATCTTGGCTCTACCACTGACTCGCTATATGACTGGGCAAATTATTTCTCCTCTGTGAGCCTCTGTCTTCTTGTCAGTAAAAAGGGGATCATAATAATAAATATCACATAGAACTGTTGTGAGGCTTTAACGAGTTGACCTATATATAAAGCCCTCAGACTAGTGCCTGGTATATGAAAAGCAATTAACATTAGTTATTACTATTGTTGTCATATCTCATGCAGTGTAGCCACATAGTACCTTCCATCTGAGCAAAAACAGTATTATGATCCTTGTAATGATCATAATCTACTTCATGGCTTACCAACATGATAGGAAGAAAGGATGGGTAACTTTGTTAAGCCATGCTCTGAGTAAGTTTCCTTAACTGCTCCCAATTCCTGAGACTATTATTCAAGATAAATTATATTTGCCTCTCATGTTACAATGTACCTTCCATCTGAGCAAAAACAGTAATAGGTCCTTGTAATGATCATAATCTACTTCACAGCTTACCAACAAGATAGGAAGAGAGGATGGGTAACTTTGTTAAGTCATGCTCTGAGTAAGGTTCCTTAACTGCCCCTAATTTCTGTGACTATTATCCAAGATAAATTATATTTGCCTCTCCTGTTATAATGAAGGTCAAGATTTGAACTAATATTTTTATGCTTTAACAATCTACAAAGGCAACTTGGGTATAACACAAAATATCTCTCTCAGAGACACACAAATTATTTTGGTGTCATGAGAAAACCATTAATTTCTTAATAATATTTTCTGCCTAGTGGTAGCTTTGGTTTCTTAGCCTAGCTTATTAAAATATAAAAATGACCAATATTTCAAAGACATTTTTTAACCAACTCTACTGTCTTAAGAGTCTGGAATTTAAGAAGTAACAATAATTCTTTTCTGAAAAAGAATAAATGCAGCCCAACCAGTGTAGTTCAGCAGTTTAGCATCAAGCCAGGAACCAGGGGGCCAACAGTTTGGTTCGGTTCCCAGTCAGGGCACATGCCTGGTTGCAGGCTCAATCCCCAGCAGGGGGCATGCAGGAGGCAGCTGATCAATGACTCTCTCTCATCACTGATATTTCTTATCTCTCTATCCCTCTCCTGTCCTCTCTCTCCAAAAAATCAATAATCTATAATAATAAAAGGGTAATATGCTAATTAGACCGAATGTCTTCCAGATGTCATTCCAGACATCCGAAGCCAGCCTGGGTCTGGGTGCCTGCGGGTGGCCAGAGGAGGGAAGCATCCTAGGTCTCAGGTGCCTGCTGGCAGCGGCCGCAGGAGGGAAGCCCGGGTCCCGGGTGCCGAGGGAAGCCAGTGCTGGCAGCTGGGGGAAGGAAGGCCTACTCTTGCATGAATTTTCGTGCATTGGGCCTCTAGTATATATATATATATATAAAATAAATGTGTGTCTGACTGAATGGTGTATGGGTGGGTGGTGCTTTCAGTACCATCTCTGTTTCTGACTTCATGAATGCTAAGAAGTAAGCCCTGGGCTGATATGGCCACAATTGATTTTCTCACATGTAAAAAGAGAAGGGTGATACATAACGTTTCATCTCCAGGCTTGATGAGTAGAGGGGTTATTGTCAGGTTTCACAGAACAGTAAACACTTTGGAAAAACAAAAAGTAATATATATATATATATATATATATATATATATATATATATATATGATAAAGTAATTTTACTTTCTGACATGAGATCATACTACTACAACACAGGGACCTTGTAGTAAACAGATACCTTTAATGTTTGTTTCTTCTTCCTCATCACCCTCAGCTTTGCCCAATGCACAGACCCCTTCCCCAGTCCCAACAATGAAGTGACCAAGTCATGACCATAGAGACTGAGAAAAATATTCGAGGTATAAGTGACCAAGTCATGACCATAGAGACTGAGAAAAATATTCGAGGTATTGGAGACTCCATGGAACATTCCTGGAGACAGTTGGGGTCTCTTGATGCTTTGTTTTCATCCAGGGGAGGAAGGCGAGGGACAGAATTTGTGGGAGAGAAGGCAGAGAAGGGTTTCTTCTTTCATCGTAAAATGTTCCTTGTAAAAAATACGATATACACACACACACACATATAAAATATATCCAGTGCAATTGCAATTGTTGTGCCAAACACTGGGAAGTGCCACCTTGGTCGATGTATTTCTGGAGTTTTAAACAGTTGTCCTACAACAGCTGCATTTCAATAAGACTTGGGCAGGTGGCTCCAGATGATCCACTTGCCACTCATATGCAGGCTGAGGCCTCCAATGTTCACAATCCAAAGGAAGAAAGTGTGTCTTTGTGCCTGGAGTCAGAATTGTAGGGGGGAGTGGGCAGGAAGGGAGCTGGAGGCTTCTGAGGTGAGGAAGAATGATCGGCTTCTTTTTACTTCTCTACCACAGTCTTCAATGCAAATACAAATACATGTTAAATCTGAGGATATTGACGTCAGTAGTGCTCTGATCACACTACGTATGAAATAATTCACATCAGCATAAAAAATATTCACACCAAAAAGTCCTTTTGTTTTTCCCTCCTTCCAAGATAACTTATGCTATCCTATCACCGAAGTGATCTCACCACAGGTATTTCCAGTGATTTGCCCAGAAGTCATTAAACATAATTCAGAGTCTTTGGATCCGCTCTTTTGGCAGAAGGAATTATTTTTAGATGAAATCTCTGAGGTGTGTGATTTGGTTTTCCCGACACAGGGAGAAGTTCCAAGTCTCTGCCTTTCCCCATGTCCTCGTCCTTGAAGTGAGAGGCACAGATGCTGAGCCTTCTGGCTGGTCAGAAGGGAAAGGGAAGGGGGAACCCTGGGTCAGCAGGTCAGCTCAGGAGGGATGCACCACAGAGGGAATAGCGTCGAGCTGCAAACCAAGATCAGAAGCTGTTACAAACCCACTCCATTCAGCTCTGAGTGTCACCAAGTGCGCTAGGCAGAGACCTATGGGGGAAGGGTGGGCTGTCTAAAACCAGTACAGATCCTTGCTTTTGTTCTGAGGCTGCAAACCTGAAAGCAGAGAGAAAATAAAAGAGAGACAGAGGGAGAAGAGAAAGAGAGAGAAGGGGAAAGCAGGAAGGGCGGGGGGGGGGGCGGGGGAGGAAAGCACAAGATAGTTAAGGAAAGGGAAAGAGAAAGACAAACACCACTGTTTTACTGTGGAAGTCACAGAATTTATCTGAAGGGCATGAATGAGAGTAAAAGCAAAGCCAACAGAAATGCCAAATCTTCACCTGAGGGAAGGGGGAGTGGGCAAAACTACAAGCCAATGATTGTATTTATAACTCTTTTTTATTTATTTGTCCTAAAACTCAAGAGAGCAAAAAAGTAAAGCCTTATATGAGTGTGCCTTTCAAATTCAACTCTTCAAGCCAGAGACTTATTATTATTCTTGTTAAGTTTTATGTTTTTAAGAGATTTGCCTAATTTGGCAATTAAGTTGATATTAGTCATATATTTATTTCCTTATAACTGTCACTCGGTGACAAGACACTCCCCCTGCCCCCTTGTGCTCCCAAGCTGCAGAGGATTTTAAACTGCACCCTGAGCAGGTCTCTAGATCAGCATTGTCCAATACAGCACATGGGAACCACAGGTGTAATTCTAAATTTTCTAACAGCCACATTGAAAAAAAGTATAAAGAAACAGGTGAGACTTCGTCTTAGTGATATATTTTACGTAACCTAATATATTCAATATGCAATGTGATGAAAATAACTCAACATGCACTCAATATAAAAATATTAGTGAGATAAATTTTACTTTTTTTTTTTTACAAAGTTTTGAAATCCATTGTGTATTACACACTTCGAGCACATCCCAGTTCCGCCTGGCCACATTTTTAAGTGCTCCACAGATACACGTGGCTAGCGGCCACAGAATTGAACAGCGCGGAACTAGAACCTTTCCACAATCGTATTTTTTAAAAATCCTCGGTAACATTCACCAGCCTAGGTGAGGAGGGGGGGGGC